AAAAAATATTACTCAAATGAGAATAAGCATTAAGCTCAAGAAAGAAAGAAGTGACGATGCCAATAAGAAATTTGTAAAGAAAAAGTGTAAGACATGGTTCTTCCCTTTTCCTGAAAAAAAAAAAAAACTCTCAAGATCTTCATATAAGAACACATCCTAAGCAGGATGACCCCTCCATTAGGTCAGTTTATTGTACCAGTATTTGCTTGCAGCCTTTCTCTGCGTGGAGCTAGACTGATACTAACTATGAATAAGGTGAGCTCATAAAAAAGATCTACATCTTAGCATCTGATCAATTGAAGGGCACATATATCAAAACAAATTTATTCTAATTCCAAAATTTTGAGTAACAGGCAAGAACATATCCCAAGAAGATAATACATCACATGTAGAGAGCCATCTCTCATAGAATGTAACATTACATATTCTGAACTATATCTGAACAGTACTTGGACCATACCTAGCAGGAAACCCAGTTGACCTACTGGCTGTACCACTGCAGATACAATATTACAAAATCAAACCATAGTAACAATTGCATGTGATACCTAAACCCAGAGCAACCAAAATGCAGAAATAGAAAAGCTTATTGCAAACAATGCAAATTGGTCTACCATACAATGTATTGGACCAACTTCCACCTAGATCCCTTGTGTGAAGATGAATCTGTTCACACACATAATTTCCAGTGGTGTATTTCTTTTTGTATTTCAATTCCATCACTACCTTCCTTAGGGATAGTGGAATTAAACACTACATTGTTCATACCTTTTTCATGTCTCAATTTCCTCCCCTTTCCTCAAGTATTTATGAAATTATATATTATACAGACACACCCTTTCTTACTTCCTAAATTACTAATGCAAGGAATACCACCTATACTCAAACCAGGAATTTTTATTTTTCAGAAAAAGTATTCATGCGATTCTCAGTAGACAACCAAGTAACTGGTAAAATCAGAAAAAAACTCTCAAAACTTGCCCTGCACAGAGAGTCTCCCTGAATATCAAATGACTCATCAATAAATGTAATTACTTTCAAACCAATGTGGCACAGTTTATTCATTAGAACCAAGTACAGATCAACTTATATTCACTGTTCAAGTATCTACTCCTTCCCATACACTAAAGTTTTAAAATGTATGAACTCATGACTCAGTTTGTCAATCAGAAGATTCATCCTTGCCATATATATACTTTCATTGTTGCTAGGCAGGCTGTGACTTCTAACTCGCATTGCTGCCGAAGGATACACATATTGACTTTTTTTAAACTCTTCAGTTATCAATATCAATATGAAGGCAACTAAAAATGAGCTAGCAGTGACAGGTCTCATGCAAAGATTCAAATGAAATTGGGAGTTTTTCTCCTCATTTAAATACTATTAACCCTTTTGAAGCAATGTTCAATTAGAGTCAAACTGAGTCTGATATACCTTTCTTGGGAAATAGTGACATGACAGTTTCACTGTTCATCTTATTCCCATTAAACCATAGCAACATGCTACAATATCTAACATTTCAATATTTTGCATAATTGATGACATTTACGGGAAAAAGTCTAAAAAATGCATTTGCAGCAAAAGGGTTAAAGGGGCTGTCTATGAGAATGTGGGCATCATTCAGTACTTTCTTTTCAAATTACAGTCACTGCTACATCAGCATGCAAAAAGAGAGCAAGCAGTCAACTCACAGAAGGATTGATTTCAGGAGGGATATTCTGAGGCATGTCCTGGTTGTTTGGGGGAGCCCCTTCACCCTCTGCCTCAGCGTAGTAGGATGCATGTGACTCTTCATCCCATTCCTCCTGCTCATCCTTTAAAAGGAAAATGCAGAGTGTAATGACTTCAACTTTAAATCACATAGAATTTCCCACAGTTCATATAAAACAACACTTACCAACTGCTCCTGCTCTTCACCTTCATCAGGTTCTTCCTCAGCAATATCTACAACTTCGTCTTTGATCACAGGCTCCTCTTTGGTAGATGCACTTGGACCAGATGTGGAACTACTAGCACTTGATACACTCCCAGATGCACTCTGATAGAGAATTATGAACAGTGAAAACATTGGAAAAAGGAACGAATGATCCATACAGAGGAAAGTAGACTCACCCGAGGTATCACCCTTGGAGAGGGACCATTTCCCTGAGAGATCAGACTCGGTGTAGTATGCAAGCTACGCCGAGGGGTTTTAGCATACTGGGGTTCATCATCATAGGACTGCCAGGCAGTAGCCTTGCGCTTGTGAGCAAGGGCATCCTGGACGTCAGAAACGGGAATGGTGGTCGCAGCTGATGCCAAAGCACTAGTATTATAAGATGATGTCTTAGAGCGGTCTCCCTTTAGTCCCTTCACTTCCAGGGCTTCAGCCAGCTGGATAAACCTCTCCAAGTCCACTGATGGGATGTCCACCTCTCCCACATACATAAAATCAACTAGAAACTTCAGGAGATGGGCATCCACTCCAAAGAAGTATATCACAGGGTTGTGATTACTATCACGTTGCAGCACTCGCTCAAAATAACCCGACCCTGCACACAGAACCAGCTTGTGGGCTTTAAGGGACTGTCCTTCACATGACAGCGTAACGTCTACTAGCGTCTCCCTGCTTCTGAGTGTATCGAAGCTGTTGAAGGTCTCCACATGGTGGGAATTCCACTTTAAATTGTATTTGCTGCTGCTTGCCATTGTCTGAATCTGTCAAGACTCAGCAATAACATGAACCTAGACGAGAAACATTACACAAAATTAATAATCAAA